CTTCAAGGCCGTTTGGGTCTCAAAAGGAAAGCAATGTTTTCTTCATGATGTAATGTCTATCGAAATGCTCAATTGTTCCCTTCAAACGGTGACTGTGCAAATTTTCATGATTTTTCCCACCTTGTCTATTTCAAGTATTTAAAGGTCAAACTACTTACAAGTGCTTAATACAATTTGAGTTTTTGGTTCCTATGATGTAAACAAAGGTTGATATTGATGCAATCAACCGACATCTGCTCTGAATTAGTTTATATACATGTGTGTTCTCAGACATAGTTGTGCCTTAATTTTAATTTTTTTTTAAGGGCATTTGTGGCTAAATAAGTAAATGAAAAGAGAAACTGAGAATGTCTGTAGTCATAAGGGATGCATCTGTGACAGGTTATAGTGCCTCTTTCATCATGTGGAGCAATTAAAACATGTTTTGCAACTGAATTAATGACTAATCAACCTCAAGTTGTTTTCAAAAACTTTGATGTGCACTAAACTCCCAGGAAAAAATTCCATTGAAATTATTTAAACTCATATTGGTCTTAGGGTATAAATTTTTGCTCTCTTTCAATTCATGGCATAATTCTAGAGCTTTTGGGGCATTTGGGAATTGTTCATCTGAGACATTGAAGTAATTTGCACAGCAGTATTTTAGAAGAACACCTGATTTTAGATAAATCTACCCGTAGGACTTTGAACCAATGTTGTTTGTGGTCATGACCCATGTTGTACCCACTTTGTATTCATTGATTGTTTGAAGTCTAAGAATTACAGACTTCATCTTTGCCACTATCTCTCTCGAAGTTAACAATCATGTTTTCATTGAAAATTAAACTGAAAAATAATTTTTTTTAATAGCTGTATGCTTAAGTTTTATAGATTTGAATAAAATGTATATATAGTATTTTTGGAAAAATGGTAATTAAAGTTGCTAAAAATTTAAATGTTTTATATGTATTTGATGACTTGAATTGCACCAAACCAACCATCAATGTTCAAATAAAATCATGCAATATATTTTCTAATCCACCAGATAAATCATTATTAGCAGATAGTATATTGTAGTTTATTTCTTGAACACTTATCTTTCAAGAAGTGTGTTTCTGCTAGATGGCAATATCTAGTTTTTATGGATAGCTGCTCTGTCAGTTACTGTAGGTGCACATAGTCACATTAAGCACTGAAAAATTGGTATTTAAATCAATCAATTAATCAATCAATTTTAAGTTACTTATTGAGTAGTATTTTTAATTCATCTCTTAAGGTTCTGCTCTTTATCTTATCCAAGTTCTTTAATCAGTAATAACCCAAAAATAGAAACAAAAAGGAACTGTACATGTGAAGGGTTTAAATTGTGCATGTTGATATAGACATTTTACCTGATGTACAAGGATATGTACATGTATATGTGAAAAGTTATGTGAGATTGCACTGGTTTGCTGTAATTTACTTACAGTGGCTCTCTCACTTGAAAATTTTGTGCAATTCTTTCAATCAGTTATCACTAGATCTAAACATTTATGTTTGAAAATCATGTTTGCCAAGCACAAGTATTTTTCCCTGTTTTTTCGCATTGTGTTGATTCTCTTCAACTTACTGTGACATTTTCCTTTCTGCCGTTTGGATGTTGTGGTTATGTACATGTACTTCAAGTTTGGTATTGGTAACAATGTTTAAAGGAAAAGCTCTATCTTACTGTAACTGTTTCCAAGAAATTGACATGATTCTGCACATTAAAGAAGGTTTATGGCAACTGCATGTAATGTAACTATAATTAAGTGTGTTAAATTCTTTGTCATTTATTTTTATTAACAGATCCTCCTGAATTCTCCGGAGTCAGTAGTGATGAAGTTGTTGCTGAGGGTGGCCCCAGTGTTACTTTAGAGTGTACTGCAGTTGGTGAACCAATGCCAAATGTCACCTGGACCAGAGTATATGATAATGAAAGTGACAGTGGTGTACTGGCAACTGGGAATCAGTTTGTCCTTGAAAGCTACAGAAATAACAGTGGAACATATCGCTGTACCGCCTATAATGGGATAGGAACTGCACCAAATCGTACATTTAAAGTAGATGTTAATTGTGAGTACATAAGCTGTTCATGAATGCTGTGGCTTTTATATTGGTTTTGATTTTTCAGACTGTAGGAAAGATTGTCATAATGGTTTAAAATGATGCAAAATAACACTCAAAAGAAAAATTTGTATATTAACCACAAAAAATAAGTGAATATTTACTTTTTTTTATGATTTTATAGCCATGTGGCTGCTTTCATTGAAAAATGTAATGTAGAATAGATTGTGATGATACAAGCAGGGTGTGAAAAGAGCCATAAAGCTTAGCATATGGCGTTATGAGATTCAGGGTGGACAAATAAAAAGAGCTGCAATTCAGAACAAGGAAAGAAAAGAGAGGAGGAGAAGTCAATCGCCACAAGATGTTGGAGTGGACAGGAAATTTTTGTCACTTGGCGGAGATGTACGTGAATGGAAAGTCTGCCGCCCAGCCCTCCCTCCTCCCCATGGTTCTGTCACATGGTCGGATACTGATGCATTATCAAATATTGTTGTTTTCTTTTCTTTAGTCAAACCAGAGAATGTCAAGTTACTGGTGAATGATTCAATCATCTGTGAGGGTGAGGTAATCGGTATCACCTGCTCAGCAGATGGTAAACCTGCAGTACATACTTATCAGCTGTATGAAAATGGAAAACCAATTGTTGACGGAAACAGTTCAGCTGGTGTATGGATAAGAAAAGATTTGAAAGGAGGAGACTTAAGCTACAGTTGTGTTGCTAACAACACTGTTGGTACAACCGAGAAGACTGTCAATGTCACAGTAAAAGGTAGAGTGTATGAATGAAGCTGTTACCTATTAAACAGCTATCATTTAACATAGTGTCCCCAATTAGCTAATATACAGCTAGAAACATTGACACATTAATGAAGTTTTTATTCATTCATCCATTCATTCATTCATTCATTCATTCATTCATTGACTGGTGCATTATACTTTCAATGCCAATTTTCCCCAAATGTTGTGCATTCAGTATGTAGCTTCTAGAGATGACAATCACTGGGACAAAGCCAGGCTATAGCTATGAAAATACAGGTACTTGTAGCCTGTGGTTTAGATCATAAGTGAGCTTGCTATAAAAGAGATCTACCTGTACTAACAGTAGCTGCATCATTTTCATCCCGGTGTTCTGCAATTGTGTCTGATGGAATGCACATGTACAGCCAGAAATCACCTTTTCTTAAACAGTAATTTAGGGAAAAGAAGCCTAGCTGTATTTGAAAACTCTCATGAAGGAAAGAAAGAAAAGAAATTAAAACATGCTTGAGTCTTGGGATAAGATGTTATCATAAAAGTCTTAGACACAAATCTAGATATTTACTTTGAATTTCTCTTCCCTGGTGAAAATCCTGTTCAGGATCCTGTTCAAGATCTTAATAGGATCCTTACTAGGATCCTACCTGAAATCCTAGTCAGGATCTTGTACAAGATCCTATAGGATCCTACAGGATCTTGTACAAGATCCTATAGGATCCTGTACAAGATCCTATAGGATCCTACAGGATCTT